TTTGCAATTCACTCCAAACAGATTCTGGACTTCCAGGAATTTCTTAAGAAGATCAACCTTGCCGATGCAAAGGGAAACAACTTTATCAAACATTTCTGGGAGCAAGCATTTGATTGCTATGTTTCTAATTCTGACAAAGCAAGAAACATCGATGAGGCATGTACTGGGGAGGAGAGGCTGGAGGATCTCCCTGCATTTTATTTTGAAATGAGCATGACTGGCCACAGCTACAGCATTTACAATGCGGTTCATGCTTTGGCACATGCCTTACATACTGCTCAGACATCCAGGTTGAAGCACAGAGTTAGGAGAGAAGAAACCAAGGAGCCATTCCAGAATATACACCCTTGGCAGGTAAAATGTGCTCTTTATGAAAGCTTATCTGAAATTCTCTCCATTGATACAATAGAATAGTACAATATTGAATATCCTATTACAAGGTTTCTAATTTTATTACAGTAGTTTATTCAAAGATTATAGAAAGTCCTTGGACTACTGTGGCAATTGAAACCACAAGCTGTCACAAAGAGACATGACGATAAAGACTGAAACCATGTGATTTCATCACTCAGCAACAGACTTGGTTTACTATCACTAAAACAAGGACCAAGCATATGTTCCTAAGCAAGGACCACACATGATTGTAGCTACTGAATTCCTGCTGGCTTCCCCATTGATCTGCTTGCTTGGAAGCTGGTAGGAAATGATAGAAATTGTGATCACATGACCACAGCTCACTGTAACATTGTGGGCACTAACATTATGGGCACCTCATGATAATGTCACCATAGAGATGCTGAAATGGCTAGAACTCCAAGGACCCATCATAACGCTTATTCAGAACCTTTGTAAATTTGAAATGTTAGATAACAGATAATAAGAGTTGGAAGGGACCTTGTAGGTCATCTAGTCCAACCTCCAGCCCAAGTGGGAGACCCTACATCACTGCTGACAAATGGCAGTCCAATATCTTCTTGAAAGTCTCAAGTGATGGTGCTCCCACAACTTCCAAGGACAAGTTGTTCCATTGGTTGATTGTTCTCATTGTCAGAAAGTTTCTCCTTATTTCCAGGTTAAATCTCTCCTTGTTCAGTTTCCATCCATTCCTTGTCTGGCCTACAGGTGCTTTAGAACAGGGGTCGCCAACCTTTTGGACTTCAGGGACCACCAAACTCATAATTTTAGATCCCAGGGACCACTAACTGGTTCTGAGGGCAAGGCCTAATTTGTGGGTGTGGCTTGGTGGTCATGTGACTGGCTGGGCATGGCTTGTATGTAAATATTATAAATATTTATATAAATATTGATTTTTTATTTTAAAAAGACCAACTTTTACCCAAAATCAGGCAAAGCAGGCGGGCAGATTGAGTTGCTCACAGAATCACAGATTCATTCAGAAATCTATCTATCTGCCATTGGCTAGCTCAATCTGTCACATAAAATTTGCTTGTGAGCAAACTCACAAAATTAACTCACAACACACCATGTATGTAAATATTGAATTTTTGATAAAAAGCTATTTTTATCCAAAATTAGGCAAAGCAGGCAGATTGAGTTGCTCACAGAATCATTCAGTGATCAATCTGCCATCAGCTAGCTCAGTCTCTCAAATTTGCTTGCTGTGAGTCTGCACTGAATTTGTTTGCAAGCAAACCTTCAGTCGTAAGGGAAGGCTGTGCCTACCTAGAAAGCAAGAAATCCAACCATTTCCTGCTTCCTAGCTAATCTAAATCTCCCAGCACAGCAGAACAGATGACGGTCGGAAAAAGGAAAAATAGCAACTTAGCAGACAAGTTTGCTGGGTAAGGAGTGAGGCTGGGGAGGGTTCCCGCAGGCCATGTGGGATGAACAGCCTTGTGTTTCTGCACAGCCTGGATTAATTGCTTTGGTGGGGGTGCTCTGGGAGTGAGATTTCTCTGTGGCCAACCAAAAAATTTTCACAACCCACCAGTATGCCGCAGCTTGCTGGTTGGTGATGGCTGCTTTAGAAAATAACTTGACCCCTTCTTCTCTGTGGCAGTCCCCCAGATATTGGAAGACAGCTATCATGTCTCGTATCATTTGTTCATGTCATTGAACAAATGGTGATTACCTATATAGTGTTGAAAGCACTAAGCAGGTTATCCCATAGTTACACTTCAGGAGTCTTATGCTAGCAGAGAGGTTTGAAAGAGCTTATTTGGGGGGAAATCATCATAATTCATATGAAATTCATATGAATTTCCTGGTTAGGAAATCTGCTCTATGCTAAACACAGGAAATTTCTACATTTATATATGTATTCCTCATATGAGGATGTTACTCTCCTTAAACAATTGAGATCTGATAGTTTTTTAGTTGAGAAATTATATTTTGCCCAGACTGTTATTTTTATTTAAAACAATTCTGATAAAACTGGGGTGGGGGGGGGGGAATTCTTTGAAGAACTAAATAAAATCATGTTAAAATATGTTTGGCAATGGAAAAAAACAAGAATAAGATTGAAGTTGCTACAAGATACAAGGGGACTTTGGGTTGCCAGATTGGGAGCTACATTACCAAGCTTCTGCAGTGAACGAATGGGTAAATCTGAGATATAAAAGATTATTAAATTCAGAGGGACATGTTCTCCAATTGAGATGGCATGCTTTTCTATGATATGCAAAAAATAAAATACATGGATACTTTCAAAAACATTTTGTTAGGAATGCATTATTGTTAGTATGGGGGGAAAAATCAAAGAAAGACACTGTATGAAAATATCAATCTGGCTCTCCATGATGGAGGCACTGACACATCTGAATACAATTAATATGGAAAAAAATTGTAAGAGCATTTTGAATGACAAAGGGGAACTCAAATCTAAATGAGAACTGACCAATCAAGGGATTGATTTAGCATGTTGGCCATATGTGCAAATACAATCAAGATATGAGAAAGATCTATTGAATATTAAAATGGAAGCAAATTTTAGCTACCCAATAGAACTAGAAAAATGGCAGAAACTTTTGGATAGAAGCTGAACTAACAATGTCAGTGGAATATAAGGAAAATCTATACAAAATGTTTTATAGGTGGCATCTACCACCATCGAGACTAGCAAAGTTGTATGAAAATTTTTCAGCTAAATGTTGGAAGTGTAGTCAGATACCAGGCTCATATTACTATATGTGGTTATATGCCCAAAGGCAAAAAAAATACTGGACTAAAATACATACTTTGTCAGAACAAATGATAAAGTAATTCATAGATTTGAAACAGAAATATTTTTGCTAAGTATATTACCATAATAATATAATAAAGGGAATAAATACTTAATTTTACATGTATTGATGGCAGCAAGAATTGTGTTTGCATAGCACTGGAAAAATGAAGAGATCCTTACAAGATGAAAGTGTTATAAAAAAATTAGAATGTGCTGAGATGGATGGATTAACACTTAAAAGAAAAGAAAAGGAAGAAACAGAATACTTTGTAATGTGGGAGTTGTTTTATCAATGGCTAACTAACAAAAACAGCAATTAGAATCTAAAAAGAGTAAAAAGATAATAAAAATTTTCTACAGAAAATTTTGTAAGTTGGATAAACTAATTGTATTATTACTTTGTGAATAATTTTGATATGTTTATTATGATCACTATTATGATTAATGTTGTACCTCTACTTAAAACTAACTGTGCCCAGAAAACATGCTGTTATGAGAGATATGGAACTTTTTATGTGAATTTAAAAAATGTATTAAATAAAACATATTTTTTTTAAAAAAAAATTATGTGACTTGCATCACAACTGATGTATTTATGAGCAGTAATATTTTGTCAGCCTCATCTCACATATAAGAATAAACTTAGAATGTTGCTTGATCTGTTTTTAAAGATTTGAATTCCAGCCTGAATATTTTTCTTATTCAACAATAAACAAAGGATTGCATTACTTTACATCTCAGTACAACATAAACATTCAGTATATTTCTCATATTGTTAGAGACAGGTTTAGTTTCAATGGATATGAATGCTGGTACTATCTTTTAAACCCTCCAATCATTATTTTGGATGTTATTTTATATTATCATCTAATATTATGCTGATCTAACATTTCACTTTTCATTTCCATAAGTAGTGCCTAAACAGCTAGATGCTACCCATTAGCAACTGCTTTTTCTTCAATTTTTCTCTTTTATTGGTAGAAAATCTTAATCCATCCAGATAATAACCCTTTTCACTTTTTTTCATACTGTATCCAACTCTGTCTCTTATTAGCTACATTCATTTCTGCAGAGGATTTCATTCAACAACAGTGCTGGAGATAAAATTGCATTCAACCAAAAGGGTGAATTAGTAGCTGGATTTGACATTATGAACTTGATCACATTCCCAAATAAATCTTATGTAAAAGTCCAAGTTGGGGAGCTGGATCCTACATTAAAAACCTTCATGATTAAGAAAGACCAAATCCAATGGAACAAAAAATTCATTCAGGTGGGTTTCAATGGTATTATTCCCATACTGTGGTGAGCACTCCCAATCGCAAGGAAATGGGGGTGAAAGGCTATAAGATTTGTTCTTTTATCTGTCTTTCTCTTGAGTCCAGTTCCAGAAACCTTCCCCACTGCTTGGCCTCAGCCAGCTGTTAGGGTTCACATCCTTCTGATATTGTAAAGCAAAGGAAAACTGAGATAAAATCAAAAGCACAGCCATACTCATGGGACTTTTTCCTAGTGACTGCTTTGCTTAATGACCAAGTCACCTATCCCAATTCCAATCACTAAATTATGACTACCTACATGCCTCAATTGCGCCTCAATATATAACCCATCCAAAGGCTTATAAATGTTAAACACTGGAAATTCATTTACCATAAAGCAAATTCTAAGATCTTGTTCCTAATAATGATTCTTTCCTATTTTTAAATAGGTGCCACCTCTTTCCTTATGCAATGATCCTTGTCCATCAGGATACCGAAAGACAAAAAAGGAAGGGGAAAATTTTTGCTGCTATGATTGTGCTCCGTGTCCAGAAAGAATGATCTCAAGTCAGAAGGGTAAGAAAAATAAAATAAAATAAAACTGCCATCATACAGTATTATTATTTCATCATAAACACACATTTTACAGTGCACTTTAATATTGTAATTTATAATAATACACAGCAATCAATTTATTTATTTAAATGCACATGTGCATTAGCATTTTTATGTGAGTATCCATTGGTGTGTCTTTATTTCTGTGCATGCTAAAGCAAGAGATGGATATCCATCAAAAATTATATGATCCAAAACCAAGGTAGCGTGAAAAGGAGAATGAAGAATTTCAGATAGGACCATTATGGTGGAATCCTTGTGACCAATTCATTGGCATAAGAAAAGAAGGAATGTCAGTATCGGTTATCCTAAGATTGAAATGATAATTGGGACTGGGATTGATGTGAGCTAGGGATGCTGTCATAAAGCATAATGTTACATAACTGCACCAATCATCAATAGTAATCTCAGGCGGTCTAGAACAATTCATCAGGGCCATTTCACCATGGCCAACTCATTCATACAACTCACCACAGAACAGGACTTACACTAAGATTAAAATAATCTTGGAGTAGAATAATTAAAGAGAGGGTGCAAAATGACATGTGAATTACAAACGTAAATATTTTTAACTTATTTTAAATCATTAAATTGAATTGTTGAATTGTCCCATGGTGAGTTGTCTCATATCGAGTTGGCCACAGTGAATTGCCCACAGCAAGTTGTCCCATTCTGATCTCAGTTGTCCCTATTACTATTGTAACATAGAGACCATGTGGATCATTAAGAAAGGACCAAATGTGACTGCAGTCTTAGAAAAAAAGCTGGCAATTAAGGGTTGCAGATGACTGGGCATTGCAAGCAAGTACTTTGGAGTATAAGGAGCTTGGAGTTGATGCTATAGAACAGGGGTGTCAAACTCAATTTCATTGAGGGCTATGGTTAACCTGTGGGGGGGGGCGAGGGGCATGGCCAACTGGGTGGGTATGGCTAGCTTGATGCCACTCCCCAAAGTGCTGGCATGTTTCCTTTTTTCATTGGGTAGACCAGGCCAACCACCACCCTGGCTATGTCTTTTCTGTTCACACTGGTTAGACTGTGCCGAAGGTATGCTGGCCTGCTTTCCTGTGATGACCTGGGGTGTGGCATGAAGGCAACACAGCCAGAGAACTGGTATGAGTCTCTTTATTGGCACCAACTTTGCCCCCAATGTCTCGTTTACTCTCTGGAGTGGAAAAAAGCTCTCCCATGAACCTGCAGCACCCTCTAGCTGCAGATATTCCAGTCCAAACTCTGTAAGCAGAAAGACAGCAATCAATCATTCAAGCAGGGCAAGATAATGAGTCCCAGAAGTGAAGAATCACAGCAGTAATTCCAGAAAGACAAGATAAGCACATAGAAGCATAGAAATAATCAGGAGGAACAGTCAGGAGGAATTCCAGGAATGTAGGTCACAACTCTCAACAATTGATGAATTCAGCATTTGTTCCCAGCAAACACCCCTCCCAACTGCCTCTCCTTTAAACTCCATGGGCAGGTGTGCTTTGTGAAAGGAATCGGGGCCCTTTTCTCACTCATAAGCCATACCACCCATATTGCTGTCTTCTGCATTCTTCCCTGCATGCCCTAGGATGAGGAGGGTGTTATAGATCAAGAAATGAGAGGCTAGACCAGAGCATTAACAAGGAATGGCTTTATTCAACGGAATAAAGGGCTGTCGCATCTGCAGGCTAACAAGCAGACATGCTCAGCGAACAGCGGCTGGCTCAACCTTGCAGCCGGCTTTTATAACTGGCTGTCGAAGGGAGCCAGCCAATGGGAGCTGCAAACGCCCCCGCAATAGGAACGGACCTGGTTGGGAACTTCGGTCAGTCTTAAGGACATAACACCCCTTCCCCCCAGATGCGAACATGTATAGTCTTTTAGGTATGCTGGTGGTCTGTGCTGGCGCCCAGAGCACCGTGGCCCTGGTGAGTCACTGTGTGGCACAGAGTTCGGGGAACCTGGACTGGCGGGAGTTGTAGTGCAGTCAGGTTCTGGAAACCGGACGGGTTCCGGCGCAAGGTCGCTGCCACCGGGTTGGGTCGCCTCAAAGTCTCTGTCCCCTAACCCGGAGGCCTCGGTGGTCGGCAATGAAGGAAAGTCAGGTGTGCCGACTTGGCCTGTTGCTCGCTCCCTCAGTTCGGGTGGTGGTGACAGGTTTCTCTGATGATCGCCGATTGGACTCTGGAGAGGTGACTGGAGATTCACCGGAGTCCTTGAATCTGTGTTGGTGTGGACACTCCGTCGCCACCTTATCTGGTCCAGGTGTCTGTGCCAAACGCGTCCGTCTTCTAATTGGACCCGATAAGATCTCAGACCTGTGACGGCGATGATCTTCCCTGGAACCCACAATGATCTCCGGCGTAGTTCCTAGTGAACACTGGGTCCTGCAACACAAAATCCCTGACCAAACTGTCAGAATTTAGAGGGGTATCAGGGCAGTAGTGGGGGTGTAGCCTGTCTAGCACAGTTCTGAGGTGTCTACCCATTAGGAGTTCTGCTGGTGATTTGTTTGTGACCGTACAGGGAGTCGTGTGTTGGCTTAGAAGGAAACGGGAGAGTCTCGAATGCCAGTCTTCCTGGTTGAACCTGGCCAACGCCTCTTTCGCTGACCTAACGGCTCTCTCTGCTAACCCGTTGCTGGCAGGGTGAAAGGGGGCCGTGAGGATGTGCCTGATACCCAGGTTGGTGGCGAACCTGCTGAACTCTGCCGATGCAAATTGTGGGCCATTATCTGACACCAGGGTATCTGGTAGGCCGTGTGTCATGAACAGATGGGTCAGGGCTTTGGCAACCGCCTGGGTGGTGGTCGTGGGTAGGAGGGCCACATCAATCCATTTTGAATACGAATCCATGACCACCAAGAAAGTCTTGCCGTGCGTTGGTCCGGCCAAGTCAATATGTAGCCGTGACCAAGGTGCGTTGGCACTTTCCCACTTAGTGGGTGTGGTGATTGGCGGTGATGGTCTGGATTCCTGACAGGGGTGACAAGAGCTTACCCACTTGACGATCTCGTCGTCCATGCCGGGCCACCAGACGTAGCTACGAGCCAACGCTTTCATCCGGACGATGCCCGGGTGGCCCTCGTGCAGTGCTCTTAGGACGGCCATTCGCAGTGTGGTTGGAATGACGACTCTGGTCCCCCACAGCAGGCAACCCTGTAAACTGGAAAGGTCCTGTTGGCGAGTCTTAAAGGGAGTGAATTCGGTTGCAAAGTTAGTGGCCGGCCACCCCCTCCTTACCCAGTCCAGGACCTGGGTGATTGTTCTGTCCTTCTTGGAGTGGGAGGCAATGTCGCTAGCGGTAACAGGTAGATTAGGTTCGGTAACGTCAAAGATGGCATGGACCGGTGCGGGGTCCTCCACGGGAGCAGGCAGAGGGCAGCGGCTGAGGGCATCGGCATGGCTCAGAGTTTTTCCCGGGCGGTGGACGACTTTGTAGGAGTAAGCCGCCAGGAACAAAGTCCATCCCGTCATCCTGGGTGACAATACTTGAGGGGTTTGTTTGTCCCCAGATAAAAGTCCCAGAAGTGGTTTATGATCTGTGACTAGTTCGAAATTGTGACCAAAAAGGAATTCGTGAAATTTTTTTACTGCAGCAACTGCGGCTAGGGCCTCCTTATCAATTTGGCTGTAATTACGCTCGGTAGATGAAAAGGTTCTGGAAAAGAAGGCGATTGGTGCCTCGGAGCCGTTGGGCAATCTGTGGCTTAAAACAGCTCCTATCCCAAAAGGGGATGCATCTGCGGCCAAGACTAAAGGAAGGCGTTGGTCAAATTGTATTAAGACTGCGTCTGAGGTAAGTAGAGATTTGACAGCTTTGAAAGCATAATCTTCTTTCGGTCCCCAGTGTCATGGTGCCTTATTGTCTAGGAGCCTGTGCAAGGGTTCCGCTACTGTGGCTTTGTGGGGTAGGAATGACGCGTAGAAATTTAATAAACCCAAGAAGGCTTGTAGCTCTGATTTTGTAGACGGTGTGGGAGCCTCGTGAATAGCTTTGACTTTCGATTCCAGTGGGTGGATGCCAGAGGCGTCAATTCTATACCCCAGAAAGTCCACCTGCTTAGTGGCGATGGCACACTTCTCCCTTTTTAGTTTGAGGCCATGCTGTCTGAACCTGTCTAATACCGCTCTGACTCTTTGGAATAGTTGGGGTCTGTCCCTGGCTGAGACCAATATGTTGTCAAAATAAGGTACCACGCCAGGGAGGCCCTGAAGAATTCGTTCCATTAGTGACTGGAAGATACCTGGGGCGACACTAATGCCAAATTGGAGACGCTTGCACCTGAACGCCCCCCTGTGAGTCATGATAGTTTGTAGGTCGGCTGTTTGACTGTCAACAGGGAACTGCTGATATGCTTGTGACATGTCCAATTTGGCGAAAATGGTGCCAGGCTCGAATGTGTGTAGAAGGTGCTGAATGACCGGGACTGGGTAAGCGCTAACCTGTAGGTAGTGGTTAATTGTGGTCTTATAGTCTGAGCAAATTCTCAGACTGCCATCTTTTTTGAGAGGCGTGACAATAGGGGTCTCCCATTTAGCAAAATCTGTGGGCTCAATTACTCCTTGCTTGAGTAATTTGTCTAGCTCCGCGTCCAGCTTAGGGCGTATAGCAAAAGGGACTCTACGTGGCTTTAAACGGACAGGAACTGCTTGGGGGTCTACAGAGAAAGAAATGGGTGTGCCATTGTAACATCCTAATTCACTGCTAAATACATCAGAGTAGTCAGAAAATAGGGAGTCGATATCAGAAGCTGAGACAGCATGGATACCCATTATACTAAGGCCGAGATAGGGGAACCAATCCAACCCCAAAAGACTAGGGAGGGTACCGTCAACAACCACTAAAGGCAAATGGCCTTTGAAGGTTTTGAATTTAACGAGGAACTTGCCTTTGCCGAGTACAGGGATGTTCTTCCCTTGATAATCCCTCAAGGTGAGATGGCACTTTTGAAGTTGTTTCTTCGATAGGCTGGGTTGGATTTTCTTGAGCGTGCCCCACGAGATGATTGAGAGCGCTGACCCCGTGTCCACTTCCATGCGGCAAGGTTTACCTTCTAAATGGATAGAAAGTGTGATTTTATTAGTGGTATGAAAAGTGTGATTGGCGTGATAGCAAGTGTAACAGCTTTCTACTTGCCTTTGGGGCCTAGAAGGAGAATAAAAAGATGACCTTTGTGGCGTGTTGTGTGTTGCTTGGCAGGCCCTGGCGATATGGCCCTTCTTGTGGCAGTTGTTGCAGGTAGCGTTCCAGAACCTGCAAGTTGTCTGGGAGTGGGAACCTCCGCAGGATAGGCACAACAGAATGTGTTTTGGAGCGTTGCTGTTATCCTGCCTGGCCCCTACCTGTGGCTGCCTCGATGGCTTGAGACGATGAACTTCCGAGTGTTCAGTAGGGTCGTCCTCACTCACCACCTCCTCGGAGTGAACAGTGGTGGCACCGGTTTTGGGTATCATGCCCTGGATCTCGGCGGCTGACTGGGATGCTAGCTCTGCTGCTAAGGCTTCCTCAACGGCTTGGGAAAGGCTGAGGTCTTTTCTGGCCAGCAAACGCCTCTGGAGCCTTAGATCCTTGACCCCGCAGACGAGTTGGTCAAGCAACATGTCATCTAGGTAATTCTTGAACTCACAGTGGAGGGCTGCTGTCCTCAGGGTGGCCATGTGTTGATTGATGGACTCCCCTTCGGCTTGTTTCCTCATTCGAAAAGCAAAACGCCTCGCGATCCGCGATGGTTTAGGGGAGTAATGATTAGAAAGTGTTTCCAGCAGCTCTGGCCACGGAACGTTCTTGATTTCTCATGGGGCAAAAAGAGCTGTTGCGGTATCGAAGACTGCAGCCCCGCAGTAGCTGAGGAAATATGACTTTATCCGGTGTTCCGCTGCATCAGTCAGACCGATGGCATCAATATAGTGATGGAAGCGGTTTCTGTAAGAGCCCCACTTCTCTTCATCCGGCTTAAAGGGCGGAAATGCTGGGTTAGTGTTCATAATGGCGCCTCAGTCTTGGGTAGACTGCTCTCTCTCTCTGGGTATACGAGGCCCAATATGCGCTAGCGTGAGCGCAGGCGGCTGTGGCTGCAGCAACTCACCTGGTTCAATGACTTCAGCTCTGTGCTTGTGAGCATTAGAGGCTATTGCTGTAATGCCGTGACTATCAGCAATTTTGAATCTCGCGCTCCCGGAGAGCGTTGGCGGCTGCAACTGACAGAGATTCAAATTTCGCGCTCTCTGGGCGCGTTGGCGGCTGTGGACACAGCGCCGAGCTTTGCTTGAGTTTTCGAATTCAAACGACAGCAGTTTGAATTTCGCGCTCTTTTCAGAGCAGGGCGGCTGTAGCTTCAGCGCCTGACTTCACTCTCTCTCTGTAGCTTCCTGTGCGAGCGGCTACAGACGCTTCACTTTCACTTAGCTAACTAGCGAACTGACCGAGCTCTCTGCTTTGCGGCTGCAGTTCAGTTGCCGATCGTGACTTTCAGCTCAATTGAATGCTTCTGGTTAACCGATCCCATCCTTGTCACCAGTGTTATAGATCAAGAAATGAGAGGCTAGACCAGAGCATTAACAAGGAATGGCTTTATTCAATGGAATAAAGGGCTGTCGCGTCTGCAGGCTAACAAGCAGACATGCTCAGCGAACAGCGGCTGGCTCAACCTTGCAGCCGGCTTTTATAACCGGCTGTCGAAGGGAGCCAGCCAATGGGAGTTGCAAATGCCCCCGCAATAGGAACGGACCTGGTTGGGAACTTCGGTCAGTCTTAAGGACATAACAGAGGGGGTGGGCCTTGGTCTTCATCTGAACTTCCTCTCCCCTGTTCTACCTCTCCCATGCTCTGCCCAGCCTGACTTTGCCCTTACCCAATTTCCTCCACATCCAACGGAGCCACTCTCCTACTCTCTGTCCACTGTTCATCTTACCCCTCAGACTCCAACACTGGGTAGACCGGGCTGAAGCTATCCTGGCCTGATCTTTCCTCTTCACACAAGCTAGACTGGGTTGAAGCTTTGCTGCCCCGATTTTTCTTCATCCTGCATAGACCAAGACCATCTTTCCTCTTCTCACTGGGTAGACCAGGACAGCCCCTCTCGCTGGATCCAGTCATATCATGGGCCAGATCTGGCCCATGGGCTTTGAGTTTGACACTCCTGCTATAGAGCAGTGTTCACCAACAGGTGGGCTCTGGCCCACTGGTGGTCCGTGAGAAAATTTTGCAGAGAAATGTCACCCAAAGCATCCCCCAAAGAAATTAATCCAGGCTGTGCAGAAACACAAAGCTGGGCCACCCACATGGCCCGTGGGAACACAAGGCTTGTATCGCTTGCATTGTGAACAACATGAGGTAATGAGTGGAGGGGCGAAAGGGCAGAGGAGGGTAACTTACCCCACTTACCTCATGTGCCTCACCTGGCCATCAGGCTGCTTCTTTCTGCTTTTCTTCTTCTGCTTTTGGCTACACGCAAGGAAAGCAGCAAAAGTAATTCTTTCTCTCCCCCAAACTCCACCAAAAATGAGTCTTTGGGACCCTGCAAGGCATCCTGCTCCAAGAGGCTGTGCCGGTAAAGACTCATTTCTGGCAGAGTTTGGAGGAGAGAAAGAAAGACTTCTGCTGCTTTTCTTGCATGAAGCTAAAAGTCTCTCGCCACCCCCATGAATGAAGATGGAAACTGTATCCTGTGATCCGAAATAAACATTGATTTATTGGTAGAAAAGCGGGGTGGAGAATTTTCCTGCAGACATTTTGGGGGATTTTCTCAGGGTCTCTGCAGATAGAAAATCCCCCAAAAAGTTTGGGAAAATCCCCCCAAAAGTCTGCAGGAAAATCCACCACCCGGTTTTCCTACCGATCGATCATTCTTTTGGGAGGATCGCAAAATACCCCCTACCCCCTCCCTGGAATGGAGCTGAAAAGCAGGTTAGGAATGTGGCTGCCTTCAGGGTATGGGTGGGTGTGAGGGAGTTCTCTGTGTGTGTGTGTTTGTGTGAGAGAGGGGGGGAGAGGGAGAGGGGGGTAGAGGGAGAGAATGTCATAGACAGCCCTCCAAGATTAGATCAGATCTCTCTCTCTCTCTCTCATTCTCCCTTGAGAACGGAGATGAAAAGTAGGGTTTAAGAATGTGGCTCCCTTGGAGAGGGTGGGGGGGTGTAAGGGACATCTGTGGGTGTGTGTGTGTGTGTGAGAGAGAGAGAGAGAGAGAGAGAGAGAGAGAGAGACAGAGACAGAGACAGAGACAGAGACAGAGACAGAGACAGAGAGAACATCACTGCCAGGCCTAAAGGTTGGATTGGATTTCTCTCTCTCTCCCCCCCCCTCCTCCCATCAACGTCAGCAAGCCACTATCAGTCAAAATTCATATTAGTGGTCCATGGGATTTAAAATTATGAGTTTGGTGGTCCCTCAGGTCCAAAAGGTTGGCGATTCCTGCTATAGGGCATCAGCCAGCAGAGGCTGCTATGGAGCATGAATAAGCAAGTGGTGATATGGACTATAACTATCAATATGGTGATATGGACTATATATTTTTCCATAGTGTTTGGAATACATTTCAAAACACATGTGACCAGAAGATTTCAGTCCAAAGGATAGTTGGTATTCTTTCCAAATAACCTTATCTTCTTCTATTTCCAGACATGGAAAATTGTAAGAGTTGCACCAAGGATCATTTTCCAAATGAAGCTCACATACAATGTATTCCTAAGACACTGAACTTTCTGGCTTTTGAAGAATCTTTGGGCATTACTTTTGCTGTTTTGGGTCTTTTTTTCTCTCTTACTACAGGTCTTGTCCTTGCAATCTTCATTAAGCAAAGGGATACTCCTATTGTCAAAGCCAACAATTGTAACCTCACCTATGTTCTCCTTATCTCTCTCCTCCTTTGTTTTCTTTGTTCAATTATGTTCATTGGACAGCCAAATAAGTCGACCTGCCTCCTCCAACAAATGACATTTGGAATAATCTTCTCTGTTGCTATTTCTTCTGTTTTGGCTAAAACCATCACAGTTGTTGTAGCTTTCCTAGCCTCAAAGCCAGCAAGCAAATTCCGTAAATGGGTAGGGCAAAAGTTGGCCTATTCGATTATCAGCTTCTGCTCGTTCATTCAAGTAGTTATTTGTATTATTTGGCTGAGTACATTTCCCCCATTTCCACATTTGGACATGGAGACACTCTTTGGAGAAATCATAGTCGAATGTCATGAAGGTTCCATCATCATTTTTTACTGTGTCTTGGGCTACATGGGCCTCTTGGCTCTTCTCAGCTTCACTGTGGCCTTCCTAGCAAGGAAGTTGCCAGACAGTTTCAACAAAGCCAAGTTCATCACTTTAAGCATGTTGGTTTTCTGCAGCGTTTGGCTGACCTTTGTCCCCACCTACTTGAGCACCAAAGGGAAGTACATGGTGGCCATGGAGATCTTTTCTATCCTGTCTTCCAGTGCTGGTTTACTGGGATGCATATTCACCCCCAAAATTTATATAATTATATGGAGACCTGAACTCAACACTAGAGAGCATTTAGTACATAAGAAATAAAAAAGGAAAAAGACTAAATCTGAAATGTGGTCTTTCAAAAGACAACAGGATTGTTTTTTCCTTGATGAAAAAAAAAAAGAAAATATTTCATTTCTCATCCAAGAAATTTCATCAGTTGTGATGGCGAGGGAGGATGGAAGAATAGGCACTGACAGTTGAGACTGCATGGTGGAGGAAGGGAGGAATGATAGGTTGTGATAGGATGGTGGGAGGGGAGATGGAAAGATTGTACTTCTTTACTGTTCTCTGGTAGTTAGCACTCAGTGAGAGCTCTTAGGGCCTCTTGGAAGTTTATCTGTGCCCTCACTTTCACCTGAATCAGATTGCAATTGGTTGTGAAATCTTGGCACTGCTTCAACAGCTGTATTATAGACTAGAGATGTTCTCTTTTACCCCTCTTTCAAACCATTGACACTCACTATCTAAATGTGGACTTTGCTGTCTTCAAAAGTCAGAATAATTGGATATTCCTATCCAAGCGCAATTAGTACTAGAGTAGATCTATTAGGAAATATTTTATCCATATAGCTAATAATCTCAAGCTCAGGAAATCAGGAGCTAGAATAGAGTTCCAAAATATTTCAAGCTTATTTCATGCTACCTGTTCACAAGAATCTGATCTGATCAGAGCAAATTGGCACCAGATAAGAGTCAATGAACTTCAAGGGTATGTGTGTGGAATTTGGTCTCTAATGAGAGTTTAATGACTCCAAACTGATGGTGCATTTGATCTTGTCTTCAAGTTCAGCTCTAATCTACAAATAAAGTATGTACAAATTTGACTTTTTTTTCATCACGGATGCTGGTGTTTCTTTGGGAGGAATGTAATGTTTATTTTTCAGGACTGAGCTCAACACAAGGGAACAATTAATCCATGGAAAAATAGAGATATGATTATCCTCACTCAGCAACTGACTTATTTTTATGTACAACAGTGCTGAAGAAATAACTTTACAACCAATACCTCCATTTATTATCTTTGCAGCATTAATGTCATATGATCGCCATTACAGTTGTCCAGTGTGACATGTTCTTTTTCCTTCCTTCCCACTTGCACAGTGTGGCGAGATTGATAAGGTATTTCCAGACAGTAAGCAGGTACACAATGAGGAATATGCATCAAAATGAAAGTTGTGGTGCCTGTTTGGGTTATTCTTCTCCCCTCCTCCCTTGCAGAGTTTTTTTAATCAATATTAAGCAAATCCATCTTAGTGGTATTTTTCATAAATTTGACTCTCTTAATAAACATTGTTTATTAATATAGATGATGACGTCTGATGACCAATATATACAAAACAGTTTAATAATATCTGACTATCTTAAGTCAATGGTTTGAAATATTTCAACATCAAACCTGAAAGGAAATTCTTTGGACCCTTCATAAGTGGTTAGTGTGAAAACTCTTACATTTCATCTTTTAGCAAAATGAAGCAAAATGAAGAAGCACAGGGGTGAGAGGGAGGGCAGATCCTGTGCTTTTCTCTTATTTCTTTTTCAGCTGATCTTCGGAGGCTTTTTTTACCACCAGTTCAGCTGAACTTGTAGCAATTTTTGACCACTGGCCAGGAGCCTTCCTGCTTCATTGCAACTATATCATGATGTGTTGGGTTGGAAGATAATTGTTGGAGAGGCAGGAGTGGTGCCATTTTAGAAGGGAAGTTTATGCTTTGCAGAGAAGCAAGACTATCACATAACATAGATAAGAAGTGAATAGTGTTAGAAACTAGTTAGTCCAACTGCTAAACTAATCCCATTTTATAAACAAGAGAATTGTGTACATAGTTTAGAAAGGAATGCAAGGCAAATGTTACTCTCATAGCAATAAGAAATTCAAATATGCCAATTAGGACATAAGAAATTAAGCTAGTCCTTATTAGGAAAGCATAACTTGAAAATTTGAGATGTAAACATAATCCACTAATTTCACTGATTAATTGTTCCACTGATTAATTATTCTCACTGCCAGGAAATTTCTTCTTAGTTCTAGGTTGGTTCTCTCCTTAATTAATGTCTACCCATTGCTCCATGTTCTGCCTTCAAGTACTTTGGAGAATAAGTTGACCCCTATCTTCTTTGTGGCAACCCCTTAGATATTAGAAAGCTGGTAAAGGGCTGTCGTAAAGTGGGGAGGGAGGTATTCTCCAAAGCACCTAAAGAGAGAGCATGAAAATGAATGGATACTAATCAAGGTGAGAATCAACCTAGAATGAAGCAGAAATTTCCTGACAAAACAATTAATCAGTGGAATGACTTGCCTCCAGAAGTTGTGGATGCTCCAACACTGGATGCTTTTAAGAAAAGAATGGACAACCATTTGTCTGAAATAGTATAGTGTTTCCTGCTTGAAGAGGGGTTTGGACTAGAAGATCTCCAACATCCCTTCCAACTCAGTTATTCTGATATGTGGACAAGCATTACACATGACTTAAAATGTGCTTTGCACCCTTTGCAAAGGAGTTGGGCAGACTCAAAACTCAATGTTTTAGCCTTGTGTGCTACATAAAACTTTTGAATTCTGAAATGCAAGATCTGGTATGTTAGTCTGAACAAGAAACAAACTAAGGGATGATAATTCTTCTAACAGTTGTTATCTAGCTGTACAAATTATACTGGTTAGCTGGGAACATCTGGCTACAATTCAGATACTGGTGATCACTTATTTAATCCTCCACCAGTATAGGCCATGGCTATCTCACACTTTCCTTATTTTTGCCCATCGCATAAGGTCTAATGCACTGCCTTTTCCCCTCTGTCAAGATCTGTATCATCCCAAATTTAAGGAATTGCAATAAACCAAAACAAGTTGTTTCAACCTTACAAACATTTTCACTTCTGCAAGATTATTCTTAATATTACCCCTTTACCTTTGCCCTACTTATCACAAATATTGTAATTAATTTCATGAGTTAACTCTCTAGAGATCTGAAAATTGCAGTAGAGAACAACAGCAATCAGCAGAGTCAAAAACAGAAAAAATATCTACACTTCCATTCGTGCATAAGGTTAAATTTGGGTGTCAGTAGGAACCTTCTCCATTTGAATTATGAGCAGGTTTGCATAAGGGAGGCTTCAGAGGATCAGTCAATACTCAAAGCGTAACTTTGTAATTGTAAGAACTCTCTTCCAGGCAGTTACAGCTCCATCAAAATTGTTGGGATGAATTGACCACAGGAATGGTGCTTCAGGTTACCTGGAGAGAGAGAAAATGTAGACAGATGTTTGCCTGCAGGGTTACAAGGGCTAAAGTATGGTTGAGTGTTGTCCTACTGCTGACTTCCAAGATAACCTTCCCAGTAGAAACCATTAAATGCATGGGAACTTCTGCAGTATCTGTTCCACATGAATGGCACCAGGAAGGCAAATACATCATTGGTGGGATAGCATCACTCCTTCATTATGAGTTCCCCAACTATGCATACAATGTGCACCTTTCTGAAGAATCATTTACCTTCCCATTGTAAGAAATCAATTCCCAGTCCAATCCATAAGGCGTTAAATGTTTTTAAGGATCATGTGCCATCAAGAGTTGTTCTCTCTTAGCAAGCACATGGACAGATTTTCTTCAAGATAGTTTGTCCCTAACCTGCTCTTTCTAGTTTTCCAACAGTGATGTTACTTTACTGAGCTTTTGTAATTTTGTGGCTGACAGTTTGTCCTGTCCTTTTAAAGATTGGCGGGGGGGTTCTTAACCCTTTGTTTTAAAAATATGAATAGATCAAATTCATATACCTGGTCTGACTATGTCGTTTTCACCTTATACCACCTTATGTCATTGGAGGCAACTCTATGGATAAGCAATCCCTTTGACTATTTGCTTAATTACTTGACTTTTGCTGATTGCAGGAATTAAACTTGAAAAGA